GTTCTTCCACTTGAGCTGTTACAACAGCTGAAGTCATCAGACTTTACTGATCAACAAGAATATGATGCATGGCAAAAACGAAATTTGAGGGTTCTTGAAGCTGGACTTATCTTACATCCTTATCAGCCAATTGGGAAAGCTGATGCTGCTGCCCAACGACTGCAAAAGATTATTCGAGGAGCTTTGGAGAGGCCTATAGAGACTGGAAAAAATAATGAATCAATGCAAGTTCTTCGTAGTGCTGTAGTGGCTTTGGCTTGCAGAGCTGCTGATGGATTGTCGGATTCTTGTCACTGGGCTGATGGGTTCCCTATCAATCTCTGTCTCTATGAGATGTTGCTGGAAGCATGCTTTGATATTAATGATGAATCAACAGTTATTGAAGAGGTTGATGAACTTATGGAACTTATCAAGAAAACCTGGCCTATTCTTGGCATCAACCAAATGTTGCATAACCTCTGTTTTACATGGGTTCTATTTAATCGTTTTGTTGCTACTGGTCAAGTGGAAAATGAACTCCTATCTGCAGTTGATGGACAGCTAGATGAAGTAGCAAAGGATGCAAAGACGACAAAGGATTCGGTATACTCAAAGTTTCTGAGTGCGACATTAACTTCTATCTTGAGTTGTGTTGAAAGAAGACTGCTTGCATATCATGACACGTTTGATAGTGTAAATATTAATACCATGCCTCATATAGTTTCAATTGGGATATCAGCTGCAAAAATATTAGTTGAAGATATATCTCATGAATATCGTAGAAAGAGGAAAGGCGAAGTTGATGTGGCTCGTAGTAGAATTGATACATACATCCGGTCATCACTTCGTACTGCATTCGCTCAGGCAAGTTTATCTGTTGTCGTTTATTGTTTGTATAGGTTTGTTTAGATTATTTTTACTCTTTCCAAGTACAAGTCATATCTCTTAATTCCTTTTATGTTTTGGGATACATACATGTTCTAGGGGAATTGTCATGAAGCCTATAATGATAGGATAAGTTTCTCTTATTTTTGTGTGAGACGCATGGAGGAACATCTGGGTGTGTGTTCTCATACTGTGTATAATGACTATGATCTCCTGTGTGAATTTGCTAGATGGGCATATACTTTTCTTGAAGAAATTTGTTGCTATTTAGATTTGCTGGGTTGGTTTGGTAGATGTGGATTTTATCCAGTTATTTGAACAATCTACATTTTGGTTGTAGGAAAAATGTAAGAGTTGTGGTGTTACTTGATCATTGATTTTTTATGTCCAGAGCAGGTTGTAGATGCAAAATTATCTTTTCATGCAATTGGCCTAGAGAATCCTATTCATTGATTTTTAAGCACTATTAATTCATAATTTTAATATATATTCTTGTAATAACCACTGACGATGAAAATACATTTCGTTTATAAAACTGCAGAGGATGGAGAAGGCAGATTCAAGCCGGAGAGCATCAAAGAATCAGCCGAACCCTCTTCCTGTTCTTGTAATCTTGGCTAAGGATGTTGGTGAACTTGCTTCTCATGAGAAGAAAGTATTCAGTCCAATATTGAAGAGATGGCATCCTTTGGCTGCTGGTGTGGCAGTTGCTACCTTACATGCTTGCTATGGAAATGAATTGAAGCAGTTCATTTCGAGTATATCAGAGTTGACACCTGATGCTGTGCAAATATTGAGAGCAGCTGACAAGTTGGAGCAAGATCTTGTGCAGACAGCAGTTGAGGATTCAGTGGATAGTGATGATGGTGGCAAAGGTATTATCCGTGAGATGCCACCATATGAGGCTCAAACTGCCATAGCCAATTTGGTCAAAGTTTGGATGAAGATGAGACTAGATAAAATGAAGGAAAGAATTGACAGAAACATACAACAAGAGGTATAACCTATCTAAGTTTCCTTTGGTAGAAATTGGTTATATTTTACTTTTTTTACGATTCATAGTGTCATACACTTTCATGATGATTATAGACATTAACTCTCTTCAAAAATATCGATATTTCCTTTGTACTTTGAGCTATAGCATCAAGTTTCTCCAAGGTAGCCTATTAGTTTGTAGTTTAGTACTGTGGCAGAAAGGATAGTGCAGTTTTAGAAGCCGGAGTGGTTTCATCTTTCATGTAATCCACTGTACAATGACTCTTTTTAGCCGAGCAAAATGGCTATCATGCTGAACTTTTATATCAGCCCAACATTGACATTCCAACACGTATCTGTAATCCTAACTCCTGCAATATATATGATTTACGTGCTTATTTGTGGGATGAGAAGTGCTGTAAACTGCACAAACTGCTTTGCACTCATCTAAGGGACGCTGTGTCTTGGCAAACAATTACCATTGCACTGTTGTCTTGATTCACCTATGGTGGATTGATGATACCAAGTGTGTTTATTTACCCCCTGCAATTGCATGGAGAATGTTAGAGCCCTTTATTGTCAGAGATCTGGCCAGCATTCACTGATGGGCTACATCACAAATAAATCAAGTAAAGAGTTATCTCTTTGTAGCAAACAAAGTGGATATTTGGCCAACTCATCTGACTTTCCTAATTTTGTTGTGAAATAAAGATCTTTTATTGTGAGACCCTGAGACATCAGGATTTTTTATGCTAATCACTTGTTGATTTAATCAATCCTTGTGAAGGTTTTATAAACATTTTCCAAGATATTTGAGAGTTTCAGTCCTACAAAGATTGTCAGTCTTGACTACTGTGGCATACCAGTTTGTGTCCAAGTTCAGTAGATGTGACATCTTTGTTGGATGGAGAACGTTTGTTAGCTCTTTATAGACAGTTTCACAGAAATTTACTCATGTAGCCTGTAATAGACTAAATTTATGACAAGAGATGTTTTATGCCCTAGCTATGCCATGGCATGTCTGACTCAGGTGCAGGACTATATTAAAAAATATGCATTGTTGTTATTGTGTAGTTTATAGATGTATATTGGTACATGTATTTTCCTGTGTAAAATAAATTCTGTGGTTGAGTTGTTATTTTTGGAATTACTCATCTGTTGCAGCAAGTTTTTTTTGTAATACTACCTGAAATCCTGGTTTGGTATAAGCTAACAATGTTTTCAAAAAAATTGTTAGGCTTGGAATCCCCGCGCTAGTCAAGAGGGACTTGCACCATCTGCCATTGAGGTACTGCGGGTCATTGATGAAATTTTGGATGCATTCTTTCAGCTGCCTATTCCAATGCATCCAGCACTGCTTCCTGACTTAGTAGCTGGCCTTGATCGATGCTTACAGTACTTTGTAAGCAAAGCAAAATCTGGCTGTGGTACGTGCCTACCAATCTCTGTTCTATTTCTACTTCTTACTTTTGACTTAATAATCTCAATATTTTCCCTCGGTCACAGGAACACGTAGTACATTTCTGCCAACTATGCCGGCTTTAACCAGGTGTCCAATAGGGTCTAAATTAGGTGTATTTAAGAAAAAAGATAAACCAGTAAATTCTCAGAGAAAGAGCTCTCAAGTTGCCGTGAATGGGGATACTGCTTCTGGGGTGCCACAACTTTGTGTGCGTATAAATACCTTACACAAAATTCGGGCAGAGTTGGAAGCTGTAGAGAAAAGAATTATCACACATTTGAGGAATTGTGAGTCTGCTCGTGAAGAAGATTTTTCCAATGGTACAGGGAAGAAGTTTGAGTTGACACCAGCAGCATGCCTCGAAGCAATCCATCAACTTTCTGAGGCTGTAGGTTATAAACTAGTCTTCCATGATCTAAGTCATGTTCTATGGGATAATTTATATGTTGGAGATGCATCATCTTCAAGAATTGAACCTTTTCTACAGGAGTTGGAGCAGAATTTATTGGTCATATCAGACACTGTGAATGAAAGAATACGCACTCGGATTATTACTGACATCATGAAAGCATCATGTGATGGATTCTTGCTGGTTCTGCTTGCTGGAGGGCCCTATCGTGCCTTTTCCCAGAAGGATTCACAGATCATAGAAGATGATTTCAAAGCCCTTAAAGACCTTTTCTGGGCTAATGGTGATGGGTTGTCTACTGATTTGATTAACAAATATACATCTACACCAAGAGAAGTCCTTCCTCTCTTTCGAACAGATACAGAATCTCTCATTGAGCGTTTTAGACAAGTGACTATTGAAACTTATGGTTCGTCTGCCAAATCTAGATTTGGGTTCCCGTTACCTCCTACATCAGGTCAATGGAACCCTACTGAACCCAACACATTATTGCGTGTCCTCTGTCACAGGAATGATGATGCTGCTTCAAAATTCCTCAAAAGAACCTATAATCTGCCCAAGAAACTGTAGTTAATTACACGGCTACCACTATTGTCAAATTTTGCTTTAGCAAAATGGCCCCATGGTTCTGGGTTTGGTTAGCAAGCTTCAATTGCTTGGTAAAGTTTTGTACATTCTTTTAAGCAGTTAAACACAAATGTGAACCTGGCTGGTCAGAAAGCTTCACGTATTTGGAGGAGGACAAATGACTTCCGAAGCTCCTACAGGCTGGCGTTATGGCAATGGCAGATGATTGTCAGTATATGTAGACTATTATTGCCTTTTCTATGGTAATCCATCATATTACTGTTGTATTTTTGCTCAGTTTGCAGGCATTTGATAGCTCTGCGCATTGTGGTGATGTTTTCCACGGTCCAGATGCTTGGCTGCTTCTGGCATGTAGCACAAGCACAGAAGGTTTGATACGATCTACCAGTGTTCATACTGTCATTTGTTATATGTATGTATTATAGTCATCTTTTATTCTTATAGTGTAACTGAATTTATAATTCTTTTATCAAAAATATTCATTATTATAATCCCTGCCAAAATACAATACTCTTGTTCTCTGAGAGCACTTGCCGTTATTATAAGCGTAATAAGGAATTTGAAGCAGTTGATCTGACATTGGTACGCGTAATAAGGAATTTGAAGCAGTTGATCTGACATTGGTACGATGGTACCCAATAGTGTTAAAAATTCTAAGAAAGTAAGAATATGTTGTCAAAATACTTTTTGGAAAATAAATTTGTATCCCAATGGTTATGCATAAGAAGCTAAAGTGTACCAGATATTTCTTCATCTGTTACTAAAGGATTGTGCTTACAATAGCTTCAAGGAAATAAGACTTGCACCATCGTCTTCAAGAGACATTCGCCCTACATTAAAGCCATTAGTAACTACAAAGCACAACGCTATGTCAAACCTAAAATCATTCATCAATCTATATAGCACTATGATTTAAAGACAACTCTACATTCCCTTCAATGCCCAGGCTGTATTCCCATTTGCTGTCAAAACAATTCACTCGCTTCAGTAGCATCTACATAAAATCTTTACTATGACCACTAATTTACTTGTACAAATTACGAACCTCTAATGTTACATTCCTTACCTAGCTCCAACCCTGTCACCCCTCACCACAGAATGTGTTAAATCTCTTACCAACTGCACGGGGCTCAATGGGTATAAATTACAGCAGATGAACCATTACACAATTAATTTAGTATGATCTATTGATGGCTTCATGCCAAGAATTTTCAGACCGATTGGAAGTGGTGATGCATGACTGGATTCATTCAAAATTACACAAAATGTCACTGCTCTTCAAGAATAGCACGCCCAAGATTTGTAGCAAGAGCCAACCGGACAGAACTCAATGCTTGGGTTGGCAGGTCAGCTTCGACATAATCAGGGCGCATCCTCGCAATAGACAACTCTTGCAACTTATTCAGCAATAGGTTGGTCTGTGCAACATCAAGAAGAGGACCCTCTCGCCACGTGAGCAGTTTCAACTGCCAATAACAGCAATTATGAATTGATGGTGTTGAACAAAGTCGTTAAAGCTTACATACATAAAAGAGCACGTCATTATTAGAGAAGCAGCTTACGAGCTACATAATTAAAATTCTTCTACAGAACAAAGTTGGAGAAATATGAAAACTTTGCTCATACAGTAGCCTCACAATCCTAGACATGACATAAAAGAAGCTATCTTACCGAGTCATAAAGAAGAGGTAACCAGAATCGTTGAGGCGTGGATGAATTCTTCATGAGCTGCAAAATAGCAACAAAAACATTTGTAAATGCCAACAGAAGAGAGTTCAGGAGGAGAGGTTGAACAGTTGAAGACTATCATTTCTTCATTATAGATTGAGATCTGCTAAACATGACAAGGTCCCTCTGTAAAACTTAGACAGTTATGCAAGCACATATAGTGACAAGATCTCCTTAAATGATGGCAATAATGGGGACATGTACAACTATTTCTTCCTTTTTAAGGATGAATGTCAATCCACTACTTATAGCGGGTCAGAACTTTTAAAAAAGGGCCTTAAATCTAGCAAGAATACTAAAGAGACAGGTATGATGTACATCAAGTAGCGACCATTAATATGGATGTAAAAGTAAAAAGCCATGTAGCAAAAAAATGGGCCATGTATAAAGAACTAGTTTCCAGATGTAAGGTAATTGGGAAATTATAAACAATTTATACCATAATGAGGGATTCCACTGCTTGCCTTGCAGCATCAGAAGCCTTTCCATCAACAGCTTGCTGCAGGGATCTTTTGAAATCTCTGTACCTGAATAAAATTAAGGGCATAAATGAAATTAGAAAAAAGACTTAGCAAATCAAGGACAAATTACAAGAATAAAATGTCTCTATATGTCTCCTCCATGTATGAACTGTATATATGGACTAGGTAAGCAACGTACTTGTGCAGAAACTCTAGACCCCCGGCAGTTCTTGTGTCAGAACCTAATAATTCAATCAATCCTTCCCATTGCTGCAAAAGTTAAAACATAAGTCCTTTGAATAAATTGAAATTCAAGTTTAAGGCCACATGAGTACATGAGCATCAGAATACTGATGGCATGGAATATTTATAATTATTAGGCCAAAATAAAATATTACTTCGTATCACCTTGAAGCTCTCTTCAGATATTGATTTCCCAACAAAATCAAACAACTGCTGAGCTATTTTATTGAGACGAATTTCATCCTGAGCTTGTTGGAGCCAGAAGATACCAGACCCCTTTCGACCATGCTTCCAGTGATGTATGCCAGCAATCTGACATGGGGCAGATTTACTATGTCATTCTAGAATAATGCAAGGATTATCTCTCCTGGATTTACTTATGTACTGTAATAGAATCAATGAAGAATAGCATGCCTTTCAGGGACTCAAACAATACACAGAATCAAAGCATAACTAAATCAAGGCATACCTTCATGATATTTGAGCTGACATCATCAAGTTCATATAAACGGCAGATCTCTAGGCTCTGTTCAAATAAAATTTATCAGAAGTCAGCAAAAAATCAAGGAGGCCATAGGTTAATTATCCAACATGATACTCACTTTGAGCAATCCTTGCTTGAAGTGTACAGGTTGCCTATACAGCAAAATCTCTAACATGCCTATTCCTGGCTTGCACGATGTCAAATATACTGGAGCAATCTGGGAACAAGTCAGATGAGATTAGAATGGCAAATATGCTCCAACAAAAGATACAAGAATGCACTCAACACAAGGTCACAAGCCTCTAGGGGGCTAGGGGTATACTGGATGGACTGGATTGAACTTTACCCAGTCCAAATCCAGTCCAGAGCATTTTGGACTCTAATATACTTTGTATGAGTCAAAATCCAGTCTGAACAAGGCCAGTCCAACCAATTTTTCACAAGTTCAACTCCATTCTAATCCAGAAACTTACACTTTTTTTCCCTTTTCTCCCGGCCCTATATTTATTCGTTTTTTTTTTTTTTTCAAAATCGAATATATAACTGCTTAAGCAACCTAACTAAAGCTAATATGTTTGTGCAGAAAATGTTAAAGCAAATAATCTCTGACAGTCCAATCTTATGGTTATCCCACCAAATTTATATTTCACAAGTTTAAGACATGGAGCATATTAAAATTATGTAGATACTTAGGATTCAAAATTGGACTTTGGACTCCAATAGGCTGAGTTCAAATCTAGTCCAAAAATCCAAAACTTATGAAATTAGAGTCCAAATCAGCAAACAAAACTACAACTATATGGTATTAATAGCCGTAAATTAATCATCATTGACTAAAATAGTTAATCCAAATTAGAGACACTAAGGCTTCTTAAATTTCATTTCCTCATCCAAAGATGCCTTAAATTATTTAAAGCACTGGGCCCTTATTTGAACTAAAGTTTCCTGATAATTTCCAAGGTGGAAAGAACAAGGCCTAAACCTTTTGCTGTTCAATACCCCAATAACACACAATTGATCACAACGTTATGAGGGGAAAGGCAGAAGATAGTTGCCAAATGCAAACATCACATTAGATTATATTAGTTCTTAGTTGTTCATCAGCAAGGCATATACTCACCTGCCAAGTTAATTGATGAGAAGCGAGAACTTGAGCATATACAAGCCGATGGAGCTCCTCGATACTAACCCCTCCCAAGTTCTGGCGCACTTCATGCAAAAGAATTTCTGACTGATCATTTCCAGCAGTCAACAACTCTATGGCATGAGTCACCATCCTACAAGTAAGCAAATTAGTCCATCACTGATAAAAATTTGGAAGAAAGAATCATGCTTTAGAATGGGGTCACTGCCTCTTGATTACCATCAAAATCAACAAGGGAAAAGAAAAGGATGCAACTCAAGAAGAAATTACTACACTGAAATTTAATTGCAATCATCTTTTCATGGATCATAGTTTGATGTTTGCATTGAAGAAAGAATCAAACAATTCCAGTGAAGCCTACAAAATGAAGTCAAACAAATAATAATATGCTCATAGCTACTCACCAAGGGCCAAAAGCTCTAGAGCATTCCGCTAAGACAACCTGAAGTAAGCAGAAGGAGAAGACAAAATTCATAATTAGAAGCAGTAGATATGAGGTCTTTCAGTACAAGTTATACCTATAAGTTCACACTTGAGAGAATATTAACTGCTGAATTACTAACTGCCTCAAATCCAAAATAACAGTCATTATAACCAATTTTTACATTACAAAAACAAGAGACTCATATTATATTTTGACTATTTTATATAATCAACGGAATACTAATGCCATTTCACAATACCAAGATGATTTGACCAAATCTAAATATGTATAAGAGGGCTTTAAAAAGTACATCATAAAGAAAACAAAGAATTCAGAAAATGATAGCATCATATGCCCCACCTCAGTATTTTCTCCGAGAATCCCAACCATAAGTCCCATCAAACTATGAGGATGAGAAACAGGCTTCAACTGTATGCATTTCTGGGCCAGGCCGTACAAACTTTCTAACCCCTGATTCAAAAGAAATTCTTTACTACATTTTACCACAATAGATCACCAAACTTTTTAATGAATATGCATATCATTAACACTAACCACTGTGAATGGCCTGATGTATAGAAAGTGAGATATGTAAAGTTCAACCCAATTGTATGTTGTAGCAGAAAGATGTTCAGTGTTTCCCAGCATAATCTGTAGAATTTTTCTCAGACCCTCTCTCGTTTTCTGGTGGCCACAATCAACCCAGAAAGAACTGCACTCCAGCTTAGTAACTCGTGCACGCCACGTCTCCCAACCCTAGGTATTTATACAACATCAGCATAAAACAGAGCCCATCAGCCATGTGTCGTAGTGGGCCTAGAAGCAGCTACGAATAAACTATGAAAGGATCATTGGTATACCTTGACGAAGTCAGACTTATTTCTATAGCATTCCCCCAATCTTCCAGCTTGCAGTTCAGGACGTAGACGTGGCATTTTTGAAACAAGAACAACTACTGCTTCAACCAGACCATTTTCTGTCTATTTCGAATACAGGCACAAACACAAAAATTCTAATTGTAAGCCATTATTTGATCAGAAACAAATAAGAGTGATTTATACATAAAACGTATGAGCATAAAAGGATCTTCTATTTCATATATCCACTTAAAAATAATATTTGCACTTGCTAATTGAAGGTTTAGCATTCAGAGAGGGATGCCAAGAAAAAGTTAACAAATGAATTTACTACGTAAGAAAAAGCAGTGACTACCATGTTACATCAAACAGCATGAAGACATTAATTCTAGGACACAGATTGTTAACAAGAGATATTTAGTGCTTTCAGAATAAACCATCAGTAGCTTCTTTATCCCCAATAACTTATGGAATGGAAACAGCATGTCAAGAAATGTGAAAGGACAAACATATGATGTTTGATGTATCATATATATGATGGTCATGCAGAATAAAGATAATTTCCAGCAGATTCCAATACAAGCCCAGATTAATTACAGTATACATTCATTGGTAAGATCCAATAGCAAAACCACACAAGCATGAAAAAGCAGCAATAATTGAGCTCGATACAGATGCGTAGTATGCGTTGATCACCAAAATTGCCACCACAGAGAGTTTGCAGAATGATCCTTTTATACATAGGACATGGGAAGATGTTCACATCGAAGAAATGGGGTCCCAGCAACAAAAATTACAGTCTCAAGACTAGAAGATTTGTAGGCAAAGCATCATCTGGTGAAGCACAAACCCATGAAGATTGTCTCAACCACTTAATTCCAAGGTCCTTTAATCAAGCAGAGTAATCCTCATCCATCATGACAAATTGACAAGTACTGCTTTTGATAAGGCAGGTTCACACAGAGGAAGCAGATAGAGTGATCATTTCTTGCCGATCATACTTCCTAAAGTGAGAATTGCATAAAAATTTCTGTAAGGGCGTATAGTTTAAGTGATTAAGACGTACAGGTCGTAACACCTGAGATGAATCTCCCCATTGACCCGAGGGACAGGACTAGAAAGTTTTTTAAAAAAAAAAAGTATGTCCAGTATCAAAATCAATATGGTAGCAGACTCAAAGTCCCACAAAATATCATCTCCAGCCATCTCATATAATAAGCTGTTGATCAGCTGAATAAAAAATGTTCACATATTTTTGATTGTTAGTGGAAGAATATGCACGACATTAGTGTGTTTCGAGACACCTAAGTATGTCTCAAAATCGTAATCTAAGCTTCTGCTCAGCAGTTATCGGTGCAGTGGATAGAATGCTAACTTTCAGTCCCTCAGCAGTCAGCACGCGACTAAAGCAACAATGACAACTTTTGCCATACCAAGAAAACATTTTCTCAAGCAATACAACACTTTGTGTCATACATAGTTGCATACATAGTAAGACTTCATTCTACGAAAATTATAAGGAATGCAGCAGGAAACAGTTTGATACCAGAAAGACAACAAGCTAAAAGTGAAGGAAACACTGAAGTAGTACTGGAGAACTTTAATAAGAGCAACAGACACAAAATAGGAAAGACAACTGATTTCCTTACCTCACGTTTTCCAATCTGATCAAGTTCATATGACCCGTGCAGACGTAGTAGTTTAACCTGCAAGCAACAATTAAGGGATCAAACATCAAGTTCTATCGAAGGCTTCATGTCACACTGCTTCCGCATCCACATACCACAATATCCAACCAGCCAAGAGATAGCGCTGATGACAAACAATCCCAGTACTTTGGATCGTCCTCAATCACCTGCATATAGATAAGTTCAGGATGTAAAAACATTTTCAAACCCCAAGATATATTTGCTATCTAGCCTTGATCCAACAAAAATAGCAAAACTCGTTCTAAATTAACTTTTTTGGAGAACATTCATGCTAGATTGAAGAGCCTGCACAATGCCAATTTGCACATTGGTCATCTACATTATTTGATTCTATTTTATTTAAAAAAGCAGCTAGGAGGAACATTTTAGCATAAGGAAACTACCTGCAAATGCAAAATATGATGTTGCAAATCCAAAAGTTTTGAGTACACCGTATGTTGAGTTTCTGAAAAGAGGTTATCATAGTCCTGGTAGAACAAAACAGATAATAATATTAATAATTAACCAGAATTTGAACAGGACACTAAGCAAAGGTGCTAGTATTTGAAACGCTGTAACATAATAAAGCTAAAGATTTTTACAGCTAGCCAATCAACAAGACGTTCAGGTAGCCAAGTTTGAGACTGTTTGTCAGCATAAAAGATTTCCAGTAGCTCCCATGCAGCCTTTAAACTTGTTGGTTCCTCATCTACCTAAATAATCAAGGGCATAAGAGTGAACAAATTCAATTGAAATAGAAAAGTGTCAACAACAGAGACTAATGGCTACGATTGGACATTCATTTTCATGTCACTTCTTTAATCACTTCCACTAATGTGGCCACACAAAAAATTCAAACAGAAAAATAATTTCACATAATTACCGTCAGAATTCTTCTAGGGTCTTCAACAATACTAGCCATTGACTTTGTTGTACCAAGAAGTGAGTTAATCTCCTTGCTATACTCCATGACATACTCCCACCTGGTCATCTCTAACATTGTGAATGACCAATCACAAAGATATAATGCATGCAACTAACTAAGCGTTAAATGAGAAAAATATGTAAAAACTTAATGAAGTTAACACTAATCAATGAGTCAAAAAAACAGTTGCACAGACAAAACAGCAAATTTCAACCTAGCATACAGAAAGAATGCAAGAGCTCTTAGAAACAAAAGAAACACGATAAAATTACAGTTGATGCACCAAATTACAGTTGTGTTCAATAACTTGATGTCAGGACCCATCGTTTAATATTTTAATACAATGGATTTCCATGCTTAGATGAAGATGCGAACGTGAAAGAACTTCGATGTAACATTTTTCTACTATTATTCATGACTTTGTTGAGTCTGTTCCCCATTCTGAAAGTAAATCAAGTCAAAAAGGACTTGGAGCCCAATTGTCCTGCATTAATAAGAAAAAATTCATAGAGTTACTAGTGATTTGCAATGAAGCTTTGATTTTGAAACCTTTCACCTCCTATAATTCCAAATTTCCAATTACCACCCATAGACTCACATTTGAAAGTATTAAACCAATCAAAAACAGAAGTTTCCATTTGCTACATCACTTCTAAGTCATCCTTTAAAATTCACCTATCCTAAGTCCAAGTAAGGAGGTCCTTGATAAGCATTGCCAAATGGCCCAAATCCTATTATAATATCACTGTGCCACTCAATTTCAAGTAACTTTTTTCAACTCGTAAACCGTTATTGATCAATTAAACCCATACTAGAAACCAATATAAGCTTGAAAAGCAAATTTCCCAAGACAACGAACACAAAATGCTCAAACAAAAGATCTGAGCTTGACTCAACTTTTTTTCCATTATGTGCCAAAAAACTCTTAACATCGTTCAGTAATCGTGACCGATTGTATAGCAACCTAGATTTACCTTATAATAATCTCTCCATCATATGCAATAATGAACACTCATGACATACATTTCCAGTAACATGCCAAAATCCATAAAGTTACTAGTGAGTTGCAATCAAGCTTCGATTTTGAAACCTTCCACCTCGTACAATTTCCAATCACCACCCATAGACTTACATTTGAAAGTATTAAGCCAATCAAAAACCGAAATTTCCATTCGATACATCACTACGTCACTTCTAAGTCATCCTTTAAATTCACCTATCATAAGCTTAAGTAAGGAGGTCCTTAATAAGCATTGCCAAATGGCTGAAATCCTATAACAATATCACTGTGGCACTCAATTCATGTAACATTTTTCAACTCTTAAACCGTTCTAGAGTAATTAAACCCATACTAGAAACCAATATAAGCTTTGAAAGCAAATTTCCCAAGACAACGAACACAAAAAGCTCAAACAAAAGATCTGAGGTTGACTCAACTTTTTTCAATTATGTGCCAAAGCAACCTAGCTTTACCTTATACTAATCTCTCCATCATATGCAATAATGCACACTCGTGACAAACATTTCCAGTAACATGCCAAAATCATAGATTCTAACACACATAAACAAGCAAACCAAACCATATAATCAAAGCTTTAACTTTCAATAATTTAGTAATGTATACGATTCATGAAGATATATGACACAAAATTAGACAACGACTATTACAATTCAAACATAAGAATAATAATAACAATTCAATCATACAGAATAAAATGCAAATCATCAAAACTCAAAATTACCAATCAACATTGGGCAAAGAAAGCTTAGACAAAGCGAAAACCGAATTCTTTCGATTCTGAAACATCGCAAACGGAGCAACAGAACCATAAACAATCCTCCTCCATTGAGAATCATCATCAATTCCACTATTTCCAGCAGAAAGCTTCACCTCCACCACACTACCACCACCGGAAGAATCATCGCCGCCATTAACATGATTTCCGTCATTAGAGGAAGGTTGAGGGAGGAGAGAGAGTCGGAGAGAGTTGCCGCGAGACCAGGAAATGGCGATGCGAGAAATTGGGGAGGAGAGAGAATGGCGGAGAGGGTAAACTATGGGTTGTTGTGGAGGAGATGGTGGAAGTGGGAGGAGAGAGAGTTGATCGTCGGAATTTGACGGCGCCGGCATGTTTGACGGTGGAGGTTTTGAGTTAGGGTTTTTTGGAATTTGGGGGTTTTGCAGAGGGTTTTGTTCAAGGGAGGGAAATTGGGACTGGGAGTGTGGAGACTGTGGACTGTGGATTTTTGTGTTTGACACTTTGACTTGCACCAGTGGGATGTAGACTCCTCACTTATACTTTGAATTAGGGCATTTAGGGGTGTATAAAAATTGGACCGGACCTGAACCGACCTGAACCGGACCGGACCTGACCCGGACCCGTTGATTCAGGTCCGGTCCCGGTCCTTGAAAATCCAGGTTTCCGGTCCCGGTCCAGACCCGGTCTAAACCCGGGGTTTTCAGGTCCGGACCTGAAACCCGGGAAAATTGTATTTTTTTTTTTTAAAAAAAAAAACTTCAAAAATCAACGCTGACTCTTCACTTTTCTCTTTCATTTCTAAGTTCTAACCCTAAGTGCTAACTCCCTGTCTCCCACTCTCCCTCACTCTCAACTTCTCAGAATCTCAAGTCTCACTGAGTCACTGTCTCTCCGCCCACCGCCAAAATCGATCAATCCAAAAACCCAAAAAATAAAAATAAAATTCAGTAGTACTAGAAGTAGTAATTGTACCAATAATGAGGCTGTGATGATAATTAATCGTTTAATAGCAATCAATTTTCAATTTGGTTTTTGTGGGCATTTCTTGTTTTGGTTAATTTGCCATTTGGCTTGGCAGCAATTTGATGGGTGTTTGCATGTTGCTGGGTTGAGATTTTCTCTCTCTTCAAATGCGCATCTTTTCAGGTTTGGTTTGCCGCCATTGTTGATTTTTCCCTTGCTAGATTTGCCACACCAAATTGTTTGTTTGATGCTATGCCGATCTGAGCCTCCTGTCAAAATAATTTCTTTTTTTGGTTTGTATTTAATATTAATCATGATAAAAATTGTTTAGATGAATTGAAGATGGACAAATTTGAGGTTAAGGTTGTTGGGTTTTTTAGTCGTTGAAAGTTAGATATTAAAGTTTGGTTCTTTATGCTTAAATTTGATGAAACAGAACTAGAGTGGACATCCAGAGATAAATTGGCAATCTTATGAGGTTAGAATCATCTTAAAGTTATAGTAATTCTGGATCACAGCCTTTGAAACAGGTTATTTATTAAAAAAAAAAAACGAAAAAATCACAAAACAGGTCCATTCAGGTCTAAACCCAGACCGGACCTGATTTTTCAGGTCTGGCCCGGAACCGGACCTGTTAAATCAGGTCCGGTCCCCGGTCCTCAAAATTACCTAATTCAGGTCCCCGGTCCAAACAGGTCCGGTCCAGGTCCGGTCCGGTTTTGGACCGGTGTACACCCCTACTTTGAATACTTGATAGTTGATAGTTGATACTTGGTATACTACGGACTTGCGGAGTACTCTCTCTGTTTCAAAATAGTTTAGATTTACTACATATTATATCGATTAATAATTTGATAGTGTATATTGAAAAACAAAAAATCAACAATATTTTACTTATTAATATAGTGATTATAAATGTAGTCAAAATTTATTTAAAATGTCATGTATTGAGAAGATTGATTGAAACATTTGACAACGGTTGAAAATTATTTATGTATGATTTTTTTTATTGATACCCTATATGTGAAATGGCGTCAATTTGAGGGGCCGTTTGGTTGGGGGTATTCAACAAAGGGAATGAGAATCGACGGGAATCATTCTCTTTGTTGTTGTTTGTTAGGCCACTTTTCCAATCCCCTTAACCCCATTCATTCCCCCAAATCCCTCTAAGTTCATTCCCCACCCCCCCAAGCCTTTTGCATTCCCATTCCTCTTCATTACCCATGCCCCTTTCTCTCTCCTCTCAAGCCTCTCAAGTGAACCGTAGCCAGCTCGAAGAAGTTGCCGCCGCCGGTGAGTGGTTCCGTCCGACTACAAAACCGTGATCGTCGACCACCACAATCACCGCCACTCGGCTCCGTTTTATCGACATCAATCCGCATTGTCTTCTTTCCCGGCAAATTCCCCTTCGAAACCCCGACAACAAACTCAGCCTCCGTACCATCCTCCGCCTCCTTGTGACAATTCCTCCCATCTCCACCTCCCTTCTTTGGCCCGATATCCTCGTCATTGACAACCACATCAAAATAATCATCATCAGTATCACTGTCACTGTCATTTTCCACTCCAAAATCACTAACCCCATTAATAGCCATTTCATAATTCTTCTCACTCATCTCACCTCCTCCATTTCCAGAATCAATCTCTCTCTTTTCATCCACTCCCACCTCATTGATATGCTCCTGCTGTTGCTGGTTTTTCTGCAATTGATAAAAATCTGGTACTCCATTGATTGTTGAACTCGTAAGAACTTCAATGTCGGCGTATAACTCGCCGAAATCATCGCCGATATCTTCCATGATTATGGAAGGATTAGTTCTTGGAAATAGGACTCATCCAATATATTGCATTTCTTTGTTGATTATACTATATTTGTTGCAATTTTGTTTGATTTAAAGACATTCTTACATTAGGGATTATATGTTTTTTGCTTATTTCTTATGTTTTCATATTACAGGAACATACGAAACAAGTTTTCACTTTTTTCATTTCACAAGAAAATATGGAAATATTTTTTTTTTTTTATTTTTGCTTATTATATAGTAACAGGTTATTATATGAAAAAATAAAAAGAAATTTAAAAATTCATGGTTTGATTCCTTGGTTTGAACCAAACAATTACAAAGGTAATCAATGAGCAGTTCATTCCGTTTTCTGGATATAACCAAACAACCAGGCCAAATTAAAGGAATTCCTTTCCTTTCTCCTTCATTCCCTTTCTGCATTCCATTTCGATTCCCCTGTGCGAACCAAACGGCCCCTGAAAAATAACTTACTTTGTATAGCGTTACTGCATCATTCTTTATGGTGTTTTGATAAACGTTAAAGCTATCATTATCATTGAAATTTTTTTTTTTTAAAAAAAATGCTAGTAAAAAAGAAAAATCCTTGCATCACCAACTCTATGAAAAAGACAATGGAAAATTATTTGACCTATCTACAACATTGCCATTGATGCGGAGGTGTCTCATACTCGAGAATATACTTTTAATCACCGCAAGTACCAAAATTTTAAAACTCTTTTAGCAAATTTTACTTCTTAGATAGTAAGTCAGAATCCTAAAGAAGAAAAAATTTACATATAATAGTTGAGAATGTCCGTTACACATAACATAGATTTATAGTGTACACCATGGGATAAACCTGTTCACAGATCGGATATCAGAAATTGATATCTAAATTCGATTTGAAAATTTCGGTTTTCGGATATTCAAAATTTTGGATCGGATGCTTTGGATATCCATTATCCAATATTAAGTAAAATATGTTATGATTACTTTTTAAATTTCACTAATTTTACCGCTAAGTTGTACAACATATTTTAACAAATTAGTAGTCATTTTGCAATAAATATTATCATCAAATATATTAAGAATATTATAATAAGTTAATAATATAGGGTTAGTTTTATATGAACAATTTAAAATTTTTATATATATTTCACTATTTTACGCTTTATATTTCGGATATCGGATATCTGAAATTTTGAGAATCAATATCCAAATCCGCATCCGATATCTGCTTTTTCGGATCGGATATCCGATCCGAAATGAAAACTCAGATCGAATTTCCAAAAATTCAGATCGGTTGTGGATCGGATTTTCGGATTCTTGGATAGTTGTGTATAGGCCTACCATGGGAAGAGAAAAAAACCCTTACATAAGATCATAATGATCAATGATGTAATAACTAGTTGTTGGCCCGAGCGTTACCCGGGGCATTACATGATGTTTGATGTAATAAAAAATGAGTTAAGCAAATTATTAAATTGTGGAGTTCTACATGTATAGGAATAGATGATATAGTATTTGTATTAGATCCATTAAATTTACTAATTTTCTGATTTAAAACACTAATATTCATCATTAATCCTCCCTAAAGTCTTAATATATAATTCGATGTACATAGTATAGCTAATACTATTTTTTTTTTTCAACTCCACTAACTTAATTTGTAAATAATGCTCACTTCTTCTTCTTCCACATAATCCCCTCTCTTCATTCCAAAGAGGTTAATAACTTCATCCTACAACAATTTATAACAAACTATACTAGCTCATCATCACGTACTCATTTTTTTTTTATTTATTTATTTATTTATTTTTTTTTTTTGTATGTGTGTTTGGACATGAATCATGTACATGTTGAAGTGACATTGTAGGTATTTGATTTATGCTGTACATACACAAGATAACAACAACCGATTAAAGAAATCAGTTAAGATTTGGATATTAATATGGATGATAATTATTGTTTACTTTTCACTTTTGCATGGTTGTTTAGTCCATCTTTTTATTGATGTATATCCAATCTTCCTCTCCATAACAACACCCACACAAAAACTCAAAGTTGTACAACAATAACCAAACTTTTACTACAATTTCACAATAATTGGTTGACAACTAAGACAAATATATAATTCTTAGAAGAAAACAATTTGGACTCGGTAACAAATATTTGTTAAGCTACATAAGAAGAATATACACTTCTTACAAATTCAAACAGTTTTTGTGATTCAATAAAATCACTAACAAAAACACCATGGTAATATCCATATAACTAAAATAACTACTAACATCAATCCCTCGATCTTTAAGAAACCCGAACACCTCCGCTTGCCTATCAAATAGTCCATCCCCATCACAACCTACAATCGCAACCCGCCAACCCAAATCCTTAATTTTGTTCAAACTACTCGATCCGCCACCAAACATCGGGTTAAAATAAGGATTATTACTACTGGTCCCAAGTGGTAAAGATAACTTACATAGCAACTCAATCACCTCTAACGGAAAAAAACCACCTTGTTTAAGAGGAGTTTGATTAGTTACCCCAAAAAACGGTTGAATTAAAACCAAACCTCGTATAACTAACGGTTTTAGTTCATTAACTAACTCAGAAGCACGTAATCCAACGTTGTAAGCAATGTTTCCCCCTGCACTCTCCCCCATAATGATACACCTAGAAACATCCCCATATTTAGTCACCCACTCATCCTTCTTATCCTTCACCCAATACAATGCCTCCAAGACGTCGTCGTAGGCGGCAGGGAGGCGATGCTCGGGGGCAAGGCGGTACTCAACCGAGACCAC